GGAACTTAAAGGAATCATAGAGGAGACAGTAACAGGCTTTAGTAATATGAAGACTGGAGATTAAGTGATTTTCAAACTGAGGTCAAGTGATGTATGTCACAGCTGGAATTTACAAGTCACAACTCTTAGCCAATGAAAACCCTTCAGCAATAAGGGGAAACAGGGCAAACTTTCAGACTCTCCTAATATGGCATCTTGTGGAATAACACCTTCCTGACTGACTCACTCGGTCAACCAGGGAACTGATATCATCTTACTGGAAGTTTTCGATAGTGACTTAGAGAATTTCTTTTAAGTAGAAACTCTCTGATTTCATAATGGTAGTCTATGACCAAGTTGAATTACCTTTGCAGATTTCCTAATAATAAACTTTGGTAGGAAAGTTTATTTCCATACTTTGAAGAATAATGGCAAATATAATAATTTAAAAGTGCATATGTGATTTTTTAAAAACAAAACATGGTCCTTTTATTATCTTAAAAATTATTTAATATGCTCATATAGAAATTATTCTATTCTCCAAAGTCCTGAAAATACCTAAATCTTTCAGGGAAAGAAACTACTATATTCTGATATTTTAGTTAGGAGATTTTGGTTGGATCCAAACATAATTTCATACTTCATTTCCTTACCTTTTTTTGTTGTTACTGTCATTTCTTTATCTCTGTCTTTGCTTAAAAGCAAATATTAGTTTTCAGGCTTTTGTAAATGCTACAGTAATTCAGACAGATGCTGCTTCTGCAGTTCTTGGTATTTGTTGGGATGTTCTGGACACCCAGAGTGTTAAATTTCAAGTTGAGGATCAGTCTTAATACAAAGATTTTTGGCTGGAATAAACGGGAACAAAACTGACAGTGTGATAACCAAACAACAAATCATTATGTTTAGTAATTTCCAGTTCCACCTCTAAATAGATTTTTATACTATTTCATTTAAATCAGCTATGAACTTTACCATTTTTCGCCCTTGTTTAACTTTACCTATAATAAGTAATTGAAAACTTTCAAAGAAAATTTTGGACTATAAAATTCCAATGTTTGTGGTTTTTTTCCCCACCATCCAAGCAATTCTCAGATACTAGCTGGATGTCCTACAATTCAATTCAATTCTGACGCTTTCTTCCAGGAGATAGCATTAGGTATCACAGGTTAAGGGCTCAGCTCTACAAGACTGTTCCCCACCCCGCTTCAGATGCCAATTGCAAGTTCAGGTTGCTGTCTGTCCTTCTGATGGACTGGTTAATAGATAGGAGGTTCTCATGACCCCTTCCTTTGGTTCTATTAATTTGCTAGAGCAGCTCACAGAACTCAGAGAAACATTTTACTTACTGGATTACCAATTTATTATAAAAGTGTATAATTTAGGAACAGCCACATGGAAGAGACGCATAGGGCAAGGTATGGGGAACGGGCTTGGAGCTTCTATGCTCCTGAGCGTGATACTCTCCCCAAATCTCCATGTTTTTGTTCACTAGCTGGAAGCTTTTCTAACCTTGTTCTTTTGGGGGTTTATAGAGGAGGCTTCATTACATAGGCATGAGTAATTAAATCTTTGGTCATTGGAGATTGATTCAACCTCAAGCCCTTCTCTCCTCCATAGGTCAGTGGAGTGGGACTGAAAGTTCAAATCCTCTGATCACATGGTTGGTTCCCCTGGCATCCAGCCCCCATCCTTAGGTGCTTTCCAAAAGCACCTTGTTAACATAATGGATGTGGTTTAGAGGGGTTTGTTATGACTATCAAGACACCTTTATTGCTCTTACTACTTAGGAAATTCCAAAGTGGTAAGGGTTTTAGGTTCTCTGTGCCAGAAATGATATAAAGACAAAACATATATTTTTATTATAAATCACAATATCACAGGCTATTTTGCTCAAATATACCTTGATTTAGATAAGTTAACTTTTATGTCATTGTTGTGGCATAAATTACACCATAAAGCTTTGGAGTGGCTTAGTATACATGAAAAGTATGTAATAATTATCAGTTGTAAGTTTTTATAAATAATTGCAATTTTTACTAAGTTTTGTTATTTTTCAATGGCCTTTCACACACATACCTCATGTTAGTACTTGAATGCCATCTATTGATTCTCTATTCAAGAATATAACATATGTCTTAACTCAGCCCCAATAAGGAAGAAGTTAAACACTGGATATCCAGAGCTGTTTGACAAAATCAAGATTATGCATTCTTCTCATTCAGAACAATTATGATTTCTAATTTGCAATTATTAGTGATATTATCTCATTAAAAAGATATTTTTTAAAAAATTATAAAACACAATCAACTTTAACTGAATTAAACAGGGTCTGGGTCTCCAGTGGTGGGGAGATGTTCAGAATTATGATTAAAATAAAAATAGCCAAAACGTGGGGTCAAATAGATTTAATGTAAATATATTTGCACAATTAAATAGAAGCTTACTGACATAAGGAAACCCATCTAGACTTTTCCTGAATTCTTGAATAGCGTAGTAGATTATAAATGACAGTGTTGCATGGTGTGTGATGTTGGGTTTGGTGGCCAGCTCCTTGTTCTCCTTTGAGTTGTCACTTTCCTCTTAGCACAATATCATCCACTATTGCAGTCTCACACCCTTCTGCAAGATTTCATTCCAGTCTTTAAATCTGATAAACCAGGCAGAGGACCCTCAAAGCGGCAGCACAGATTAAATACAAGTTTCTTCTCATTGTTGTTACTTGAAACAAACCAATATTACCTTCTTAGCTGTCAAGCTTTTAAAAAATTTCTTTAAAATTTTATCTAAGATGTTAAAAAAATTGTTTCTTTTTTTTTTTCAACAAATCCATTCCATATTTTGGTGTGAGTACTTTAAAATTCTTCCCTTTTCTAATTATTTTCTAAAGTTAAAAAAAACAAATTCTTTGTCGAGGTGTAAACCACTCCATGTTTTTGTTTTAATTATTACTTTAGTAGATAAACTTAACAAATAATTAGACAATTGCACATGTCTGATTAGCACAGAACTGTGGCAGATTGGCTTGGCCAGCTAAAGAATGGGCTGTGTGTATTGTTGGGGAATGTTTAGGGCATCCTCACATTGAGATGGATGCAAAGTGATGTCTACTGGTAATGGTGTAGCTGGAAACAATGAACTTGCTTACTCATTTCTAATAATTTCATTTTTAAAATTTCCTTTGAGCCTCACTGCAACCTCAGATGATTTTTCACTTGTGTAGCAATTTTGCATCTGAGATCACTTTGACCTCTACTCTCTAATTTGATCTTCATTGGAACTTGGTGAGATAAAAGTGGCCACTGGAGTAGCCTTTTTTTTGACAGATGAATAAACTACCCCTGAGAAGACTAGGGGACTTGCCCACAGTCACATGTTTGGAGAAGCCATGTACTGAGCCCAGACTTTAGCTCTCTTCCTGCTATCACATGCTCAGCCTTTCCACAAAGGCTTCAGAAGCACCCCCTGTTTTTGCAGTCCCCTTGTACATGTTATTGATATCGATATACATCTTGAGAACAGCATAGCTGGGACCAGTCATGATCTGCTAGGTGAAAAGAAAGAGGGTTTGCTAAATTTGTACTACTTGTACAACTTCTAGTGAGGCATAATGTATAAACACACATTAGAGTATATATTTAAAACATTTGCCAGGTAAATGTTTGATAACCTGTGTAACTGTGCTTTTCGATTTTCAAAACCCTGGTTCAGTTATTTTTATGTGAATACTTATCCTGTGGCCTTGGATGCTTGCACTGTTAATTTAAAAATGGACAAGGATTTAGATAAAAGTAATGTGCTGTGTAGGATTAGTCCTAGGTCACTTTACCTGGAATCAGGAAGGCTTTTTAGCGTTTTTACCTATTCCCAGTTACAAAGACTTACTAATACAGAAAAAGGCTGTTATAAAATCTATAATTTCAAAATGCTTTGACTAACTTTATGAAATATGTATACATAGATCAATCATTTTATAATTTGTCATTGCTTGGTACATGTATTACTTTTATGTGTGTGATCCACATCTACTTAATTGTCTGAGTATGCTCATTATATGATTCTTTGTTAAGGAATCATTTTTCATAAGAATTTTATTTATTTGTTTATTTTCTTTTTAACTTTTTTGGGGTATAATTGACAAATAAAATTGTAAGATATTTAAAGTGTACCTCATGATGATTTGATATATGCATATATTGTGAAAGGATCCCTCCCATTGAATTAACATATCTATTACCTCACATATTCATTTTTGTGTGTGTGTGAGAACATTTAAATTTCACTCTTTTAGAATGCTCTTCTATACTATACAGTTTTATCAAATATAGTCACCATGTTTTAATTAGACCCTCAGTTCTTATTCATCTTGTATAATTATATTTGTTTTAGAGTCAGTTTATGAAGCTACAGTTTATAAGCTGACCACTCTCAAAACCTTTTATCTATAAACAGGTGTAAACTGGCTTCCTAGCATTTGTGGAGAGTAATGCTTGGCCCTGTGTAGATGGGAGAAGAGGAAGGGTAGTTGCTTGCTCTGGGAATTTTACTTGATTTACAAAATGTTTAGCAAACACTCCTATCAAACTTAGAAATTACATAGCTAATTTAAGAAGCTATTTTCTGACCCATTTTCAGTTTTTAAATTATTTCAGGTGGCAAATGTAGGTACCACTGATTTTGAAGTTTTCTGCAAATACAAATATTCCTAAATCCCAAAGCATACTTTCTATTTTGAATTCAGTTTTATATCTTTCTGAAGTCTATTGAATATCAATATTTCTATCATCAATCTAAAGATAACGGGAGGAATTATGATTTCTTTTCCCAGGATACCCATCTGTTGCTGACAGAGCCAGATTAGAAGTCAAAAACCTTTCTTTTTCATTATTAGTCATGCTTCCATTGTTTAAAAAGTCACAACTAGCTCTTGCCTCTAAGTAGAAAAGAAAAATATCACAGACTAAGAAAAAGAAAATGAGTTTACTTTAGTGTGAATTTAAATATGTTTCTCTTTTCCTTAGGAGAGAGTTATGTATGTGGCTCAATAGAGCCCTTCAAGAAACTGGAGTACACCAAGAATGTGAACCCCAATTGGTCTGTGAATGTCAAAACCACCTCGGCATCCCGAGCAGTGTCATCACTGGCTACTGCCAAAGGGAGCCCTTCAGAGGTGCGGGAGAATAAGGATTTCATTCGGCCCAAGCTGGTCACCATCATCAGAAGTGGGGTGAAGCCACGGAAAGCTGTCAGGATTCTGCTGAATAAGAAAACCGCTCATTCCTTTGAGCAGGTTCTCACTGATATAACCGATGCCATCAAGTTGGACTCGGGAGTGGTGAAACGCCTGTACACCCTGGATGGGAAACAGGTAAGAGAGGCATTGTGGTATAACCTTGACTTTACAGGCGAGAACCAGGAAATTTATGTGGCATGTAGTGGGGACCTGAAACATACATTTTGCTGACATTGAAAGAGTTGGGTCATTTAGTTAACAAATACATAGCTGTTGACCTCAAACCAGTCCAAAGATAGGATTAACATAACAATAAAGTAAAACTGCCTATCTCTGAAGCTTAAATGATTACGCCATTATGCTATGCAATTAATAACTGAAAAACGACTTCTTCATTTATTAATTGCTTAACATAATGGTGCTTTTCAACCATTTGTTTTCAGTTTTGTCATATAATAATTTCTTATAGCTTGGACTATGACTGAGATATAGAGGTAAACTCAAACAAGTAGAGAAAAATCTAATTCCTTTCTTTGGCCTAAATAATATAATTTACTGTCTCAATAATGTTCACTAGTGAGATTTATTTAAATTTTATAGATTTTTAAGTATATTTCTAAAGAATAAAATATTTCCACCTGGATAGCTTTAAGACACACATCTCTAGCATATTATATATCTTGTTTTCAAAACATAATTTCAGAATTAAAATGACGGGTTTCTTTGGCTATGGAATGTTTCTTCGGTTGACTTGGATTAGTGGACATTTTAATGTGAGTTGCTCAGATGAATTTAAAGGAAGTCTCGTGTGGACTTTTGTAAAGCTTTGATAGAACTCTGATGGTAGGCTGAATACAATGACACTGATATATGTACATTGCGATTTGCTGGTCACTGAGAGTTTACCAGTATCTTTGTAAGATTATATTTTTTCGCACACTATCATTGCTTGAAATTTAGTTTTTAATGTGGATCTGTCCAAATGCTTTTTAAAAATTATTTTGAGGGATAATTTGAATGATTTGTATGTAGAACACATATTAAAAATCAAAACTAGATTTATAAGTTGAAAGGTTGATCTTGTTAAGCAGACGACTAATGTAAGTTTTTGAAGGCTAACCCATTCAAACTATGAATTAGAAATAGATGCAAATAGTATAAAGAGTGTGAGTCATGAAAGAATTCCTGCCCTGGGGAACCATCCAAATTCTTTATATTATAGAATTCATTAGAAAGAAGGAAAATCTGCTAGTTGTTTGTTTATATTCACCAATGCTTGTCTCATAAAACTTCCCCTAAGTGTCATGTGGATCAGGATTCTGAAGGATGATACGCCCAGCCTTCTAGATCTAACGGTGTGTAGCCTGAATGGTACCAATATATCAGTGATCAAAAAGTCCACTGTTGGCTTGTGGGTTATAGCAACAATAAGATGAAAAAGTTCACCTTTAAATATTTAAGCCCTTTAGGGCTTCCCTCTGTAATGAGTGACTCAACCATCTTGTAGTTTTGCATTTTTTTGTGTTAAATTTTCCCTAGATGGGAGTTTACCGGTTTTCATAAAAAGGAAAATTTACAGCAAAGAATACATATTGATAAACCTTCTTCCTCCCCCCCACTTCAGAATTTTGGGGGTTCCAACTTGCTACTCACTGAATCTAAAAATCAGTTTTAACTATTGGGTTGTTGGAAAAGTCATGATGCATTTTTGCAATGAAAAACAGAAAAATACGTCATGACTTTTCTGACAACCCAATATTTTAGTAAATTCTGCCATCAATTGATCATTTCTTTATTCTAAGAATGAATTCCTAGAAGAGGTACTCTGATGTTCTCAATAATTTTCTTCTTTTTAGGAATTTATCTAGTGTATATATTTTATAATGGCTGATTTTCCTGTGGTTTACATGTAAGTAATCCATTGTAATGGAAAAAAAAAGAAGTTTAATATCGGAGGACCAGGATTCAAATCATGACTCAGCCACAGATTATTTATGTTTTTAGCAAATCACTTAACTGAGCCTCATTATACTCATCAGTAAAATATGAATCAAATGATAACCTCGGTTTCATATAGTGCTTGTGGGATCAATTATAATACATGTGAAAGCAATTTTGAACTATAATAATAATGATCATAGCTTTATTGAGCATTATTCAAAATGCTTTGTATATATTAGCATGTTTAAGCATCATAACGTCTTGATTATTATACCCATTTAACAGGTGAGGATACTAAGGCACAGAATTTGTTTATTAAAAAAAAATGTCTAAGACCACACATATATAAATGGCAGAGTTGGGATGTGAACCAGTCTCTCTCCAGAGCTTGTGCGTGTAACCGCTGTACCACGTTGGGTTATATTAAAGCACCAATCAAATGTAAATGTACTGAGAAAGAATTTCCAAGTAATTTATCTAAAAAAAATAACATTTGAAAGTTTTCTGCTATGTGTTTTTCTCCTGTAGTTGTTCTGCTGACTGTTGTATTCAACTGTTTTTTTCTGTTGTTGTTGTTGAGCATTCAGTTAGCTGTGGGGCATTTCTTGCATTGTGGCATGTTCTCTTCATAGCAAGGGAGGTGAAAAGCTGCAGAGGAATTGGGTGATAAAGTGGAAAGAATATAGAGAGTTGTTGCTTGGATTCCAAGTAGGAACAAAGATATTTCTTCATAGACCCCAGGAGTCTTTAGAGCTGTTTTTGTTCAGAAGAGAAATCTGTCCCCATGAGCGGTTTGTTAGAGTAGGATCCTTTGACAGCCTTGCAGAGACTAAGGCTTGATAAGCCTCTGAGAATAAACCACTTTCTTCCAAGCTATACTGTAGCATGCTGCTGTGCCGTAGTAGGGTGGCACGTGGTGCCCCCACCATCTTATCCTGACCGTTGGGCTCCACATGCTGTCAATAGGACATCACTCTTAAGATTGCTTGTTCCACCTGCTTTTTTAAAAATTAGTGTAATTGAGCCCATGTATCAAGGCCATGAATGATATGGGAAATCCAATGCCCAATAAAGTTTTTAAAGGAATATATATTTTTTTGCATTGAAGAAATAAAATTATTTTAAAAATCCATAGCTTAGTCATGGGATGTAAAGTACAGCATAGGGAATATAGTCAATAATATTATAATGACTATGTATGGTTTCACATGAATAACAGACTTATTGGGGTGATCACTTGGTGAGGTATATAAATATCTAATCACTGTGTTGTTTTATATACTTGAAACTAATTTAAAAAATCAATAGTTTGAGTGCTTTGAGTAAATGAGTAGACAGGAAGATGTGCAAGCAGGAATGGCTTTTCAGATTGCCTTCATGTGGCCTGCAGATGTATCCACGGTATGGAAACTGATGACCCTGGGGTTCCTGGCAATGGAACCAGGAGAACCCGTGCCTGCTGGTACATATGGTATCCAGAGATGGTGCCAGAAGGTGCAGACCAAATTCCATTCTCACTTGTTGCTGCTACCACTCGGCCTCCTTGCCATTTGCCTCTTGGGTTTGCCCTAATGTAAGAGTTCACTGAATAGTGTCTTTTTGAGTTTTTAGGCTGAGAATTAGGAAATCAACATACTGGAAATGCTGTACCACTTAGAGGACATTTTGCAGGAAGCTGCGGTTTCCCCAAATGACCCTTGTGGCTCATGAGTGGCCTATTTGTGAGCAAACCCTTTCTAATTATTTCAACTCCATTCTTGATTCACGCCACTGATGCTTTGATTAAAGGTTGCCACCCCCTTGCTGACCCCTCCTCACACCATGTGATCAGGAGACCTTTGCTCACCACATGATCAGGCACTTTTGCAGGCAGGGCTGGGAGGTCAAAGAATCACTTGCAGTGTCTTCATTTCACTGATGCATTGCTTTTCTGGGCCTTGATGAAGGGCTCCCTAGGAAGGAAAGTGGGCATTTTTCTAGCTAAAGGTTACAATCACATCCCCCTTTTCCACAGCCCAGCAGAGGCTATGTGAGAATCTTTTCCCCTTACCCCAGTCCAGGCTCTGATGTTGGGATTTTCTGTGGGTTATTCCCTCACCCTGCCAGGCAGCTACTCCCAGAAGTCATTTGGAGTGTGACTATTTTTTATGATTAAAATAAGCCCAAAAGGTACAAGATTTGCTGCAAGGATACACTTGCATATCTCCTGAGTCTTTTGGGGAACAGCACATCAGGCTGTTTTGAGCTGCTAAGTCTTCTAAATCTGTGGTTCCTGAATCCTTACTTAGAATCACAAACCACAGCAAGTATTAGAACAGCTAATGCCTAAGCAGGCAATTTATACTGTAAAGATCATTGAGAAGGCACTTCCCAATGATCCCCTCCGCCACTGAAATATAGTAATATTTCAAAATAGCATCAAAGTCATATAGTAATATTGATAAACTAGGTAGTTCTTAAAGTAGGAATATATGCCCGTCCCCATCTTATCTACTCATTAACATTGAAGGTCTGTGCACACCCCGGTCTTATCTACTCATCAGCAAAATAGCAGCATACTTTGCTAGCAGAGGAAAAACTCACTCAAGGATGTTATATTTTTATCCTATAGGCATTTCACATAAATGAGTCATGCACTTTGTAAAACCCGCCACTGCTAAAATGCTAGAGTGAGCAAACTATTGTCTTCCTAATATGAAAAACACTAGGAGTCACTCAGCCGAAGTAAAGATACCCATAAACTGATTTAGATGGTAAGCCGTGAGAACAGGCAACAGAGCTGCTGCCTTAGTCGGCTCTGGCTGCTATAACAAAATACCAACGCCTGGGTGGCTTATATACCACAAAATTTATGTCTCACAGTCCTGGTGGCTGGAAGTCCAATATCAAGGTGCCAGCAGATTTGGTCTGGTGACAGCCCACTTCCTGGTTCATCGAGAGCCGAGTTTTTGCAGTGTCCTCTCATGGCAGGACTGGTTAGGGAGCTTTTGAGTCTCTTTCTTTTTTAAAAAAAAAACTTTATTGAGCAATAGTGTGTTTTTGCAGGACCCATCAGCTCCAAGTCAAGTCATTGTCTTCAATCCAGTTGTGGAGGGCACAGCTCATTGGCCTATATGGGAATCGAACCCGCAACCTTGGTGTTATGAGCCTGCACTCTAACCACCCGAGCTAGCCAGTCACTCTTGAGTCTCTTT